TCCCTACTGCCACACATCAACCCCCAGTTTTTTTTTAAATAACAAGTGTGGTCGAGTGGCGTATCATTTGGAAGGTGTTTTTTCCTCTACACGATACTTTTTTTTTAATATACGAAATAACTTTGAATATAATTTTGGCTAATTTATTGGTTAAACATCAGTAATAACAAAAAACATAAAATTTCATCAAATTAACCAATTTAATGTTTGAAATGATCTCCTCTGACCTCCATACAATAATACAGTATATTATCAAAGCCCCTTCGTACATTTGCAAATACCTTCAGTGTGAATAATCGGCCTTCTGTCACAATTATTCGTCGCAACTCTACAAGATCTACAGGCGGAGTGGTGTATATTTTTGATATTAGGTGTCCCCACAAAAAAAAAAACCAAAGGCGAAAGATCCGGTGATCTGGCCGACCACTCTATTGGATCACTTCTACCAATCCAGCGCCCTGGAAAACGTTGATTCAAAAATTGTCTTACGCGTATATCATAATGTGGGGATGCCTCGTCCTGTTAGAAAGCCATTTTATCGTTTAAAAGATTATCATCAGATTCCAATAAGTCAGTGATCAGCGGATCAATAACGTCTTCTAACAAATTTAAATAAGTTGTTCCGTTGAGATTTCCTTCAAAAAATAATGGTCCAATAACGTGATTCCCTAAAATTCCAATCCATACATTTAGTTTCTGAGGTGTTTGTGTATATGTCTCAATGAATAAATGAGGATTACTGTTACTCCAATAACGACAATTATGTCTATTGTCTTCACCATTTAACATAAAAGTACATTCGTCGAAAAAACACGTACAATTGATGTCGGTTGTTTTTATGATTTCACTAAATTCTTCACAAATTTGAAGTCGACGATTAGGATCATCTTCGTTTAATTGATGAAGTAATCATATTTTATAATGGTAGAATTTATAGGATTTTATAATTCGATAAAGACTAGGTGCTCATAGACCAGATGCAAGAGATAGTTGTCTTATAGACTGTCGATTATTAATTTGAATTATTTTTACGTAAAATATACTTAACTATAAAACTCAAAATTAATAATAATCTATTTTTTTAAATAGTCCAGCAACTCAGTTCTATTACACATATATAATAAATTAATTTTAAACAAATACTACTTCACTATGAGTGTACACCTACATTGGAACCGTATTTCTCCCGATCCGATATCGAGCGACGTCGCCCGACATCGGATTGAAAACAAACTCAAGGTATTAAATGATAGTGCCTACACTGCTTCCATGACGAAGCAGTATAGGCACTCTGATTTAATACCTTGAGTTTGTTTTTAATCCGACTTCGGCCGACGTCGCCAGATATCGGATCGGGAGAAATACGGTTCCAATGTAGGTGTACACTAAATCAACAATAATGAATTCCAATATCTTAGAAAATAATATCCATAATCCACATCCAAAATAATATTCCAATATCTGCCTGAACAGATATCGATACAGATAACAGCAGAATGATGCTATCACTTAGTGTACACCTACATTGGAATCGTATATCTCCCGATCCGATGTCGGGCGACGTCGGCCGACGTCGGATTGAAAACAAACTCAAGGTATTAAATCATAGTGCCTATACTGCTTCCATGACGAAGCAGTATAGGCACTATCATTTAATACCTTGAGTTTGTCTTCAATCCGACGTCTTCCGATATCGGATCGGGAGAAATACGGTTCCAATGTAGGTGTACACTAACACAGAAAACAGACGCAGGCAGGTGTGCAAATTCTGCAAATGTGATGTGCGATGACTATTTCTCTATGTTGCCAACTCACTCAGTTAAGTTCTATTTCTTGTTACAGATAATTCCAATGTGACACAAAATCTAGGCATCGGATAAAAAAGGTTATTTGAAGAAAGTGTATTTTTTTGTTTTTCTTAATGCCGGTACAGACTCGTTTTTGTAATATTTTATTTAGTTATAGAGTAATTTCCACATACTAACCTATGTCTCAAATTAGGCTTTGTACCGCCATTCTTTTCTATATGACGTATATGTGTGCCAAATATCTCCACAAAACATTAATAATTAAAGCTGTAATCTTGGAACGCGGTTTCCGTCTTGATGATGCGCTGATGTAGCCTCTTAAAAGTAAAAAATTAAAAGAATATCATGTCAATAAAAGATGTAGTAAAACAAGTAGAAAAAGTCTAACGTTTTAATTCCCAAAAGAGAAATTCACGTTCCATTGCCAATATCGTTGCATTCCGAGACTTCTTTCTGCCGTTCTTGAGTTGAGTGACTTTGCGACCAATGTGGTATTTTAGACCTTGGCGATTTTCCAAGGTTTAATTTTTAATATGAGTTAACATAATTAACAAGTTCTTCCTTGTTTTCAATTTAATTTTTTCCAGGTTTTTAATCTTGTCTAGAAATAATTGATCATTAATTTGTAACACATTGGTTTTGTCTCTTACTTCACTTTCACGTCAATAATTTGTTTAAATACTTTTTTTACACGTTTAGTGTTTAATTTTTTTATCAGTATTACATGATGAAATAAATTCACTTTTACAACAAATGATTTAATTTTCACAATGATTTTCCCTTTTTTGGAATGAATTGAAAATTTAATTTTCTCAATGATTTTGGATTGGAAAAGTATTTTACAGACGTACAATGCACACAATTTATTACACCACTCCATTAATGTATTTTCTTCATTTTCTTTGGGCAGAGATAAATCGTTCTGATCAACCGCCATCTGTTGTCCATCCGTCCCTTGATTTGCTATTTATTTTCCCTCTAAGAATTTTTTCAGTCCTTCGAAGGTTTATTTGTAATTAAAATTTGTGCAATATAAATTGCTAAACAAATTGTAAATATTTTAGATAAACATTAGCACAAAGAGTCGTGTTTTCTCCATATGAAAATTAAATAATATTTTCAAATGTAAATAGTGAGTTACCTGTATTAAAAATAACCTGTCTTATTATTAGGTTATGTCACAAAATATCTATCTATCATCTATTTATCTATCAAATCTGAGTTCGTACCATTGCCCAAAAAACAAGGAACAAAAGTTTGTGAAGATTATAGGACCATAATCCTAATGAACCATCTGATGAAGCTGTTTTTAAAAGGCATCTATAAAAGGATCTACCGGAAATGCGAGGAACAAATTGCGACCAATCAGTTTGGATTTGTGAACGCCGTTGGTACGAGGGAAGCTTTATTTAGCGTGCAGGTATTGTTTCAGAAATGTAGAGATGTCAGCTGTAATGTTTTTGCATGACTTGTTGACTACAAGAAGGCTTTCGAAAGAGTCAGGCATGAACAAATGATGGAAGTGCTGAAGAGGACGGGGATTGACGGAAAAGACTTAAAAATAATAGCTAACCTGTATGGGAATCAATCAGCGGTGCTCCGAATAGATGGAGAATATACAGATCAGGTTAAAATCTTAAGGGGAGTGAGACAGGGTGAATATTTTAACCACTGATATTCAATCTGTACTCGGATCACATTTTTGAGAGGCTCTAAATGATATTGATGAAGGCATCTCAATAAATGGAGTCAAGCTCAATAACCTGCAGTATGCAGATGATACAATAGCGTTTTCCAATACCATAAAAGAGCGGCAAAACCTAATGAACAAAATAACACTGGATATAAACACCAGCAAAACCAAGCTAATGATCATCAACAAGGAAAACATAACTGGAGCAAATCTATATGTGAACCAAATGAGAATTGAACGTGTCCCACAATACTTGGAAAACTTGGGAACTATAATCAATGAGTCGTAGGGCAATACCCAGGAGATTACATGTGACATCGGAAAGGCAAAAAATGCATTCTCGTCTATGAGCTCTGTGTTCAAGAGTCATGACCTCACCCTAGAAACAAAAGTAAGGCTCCTTAAATGTCATGTGTACTCAGTGCCTCTGTACGGAATAGAAACGTGGACATTGAAGGCAGAAACTGTATTAAAACTTCAGGCTTTTGAGCTATGTTTATACAGAATAATCCTGAGGATACCATGGACAGACAAAGTCACCAATTAAGAAGTACTGCGGAGGATGAACACAACTGCGGATTTGGTCAACATCGTGAAGGGCCGTAAGCTGCAGTACTTGGGACATATAATGAGAAATCAAGGCAGATACCAGCTACTTCAATGGATTTTGCAAGGTAAAATTTAAGGAAAATGAGCCCCAGTACGAAGAAGAATATCCTGGCTTGCTAACCTGAGAGCATGGTATAGAAATACCTCAATACAGCTATTTCGTATAGCAACCAACAAAGTCATCATAGCCAGAATGATCGCCAACGTTCGGAAAGGACAGGCACCCTAAGAAGAAGATATATAATCGTATTTAATTACGTATAAGTTTTTTATTAAATCATACCTTGTTTCGTCAAAATTATATCTAATGCAGAATTCGAACGTAAAATTTGGAAGTTCATGTGAGCTGTATTTTACATTTAACGTGCAGATTCGACCTTGTCGCGAAATTTAGTATGAAATTAAAAAAAAAAATTAACCCCCTCTGTGGATCAGTGGTAAGAGCGCCTGCCTTTAAATCTAAAGGTCGTGAGTTCGAATCCCACCTGGGTGGAAATTTTCGTTTATTAAAAAAAATTAATAAACGAAAATAATTTCTATCCTTGTGTGATCGGTACACACCGGAGGGACCGCAGACGTTCGGATACAATTAGCGTCTCTTAGCAAAGACAGTGACGTCGACTTTGCTAAGTATCAAGACAATTACTCTACACACACAAACACACACACACACACACACTACATTAATAAACTTATCTTGATTGAGACTGGCTGAATGACAATTGTCCAAGCCAAAACACACAAAAAAAAAGAAATTAAAATAGTCAATAACTTTAGGATTATTTTTTTTTTCCAGGCTTTTTTATTTCAAGTTGCATGTGGTTTTACACCAACTCTATGTCGTATATTTTTACTGTGTTAATTTTATTGATCGTTTATTTAATTTATAGGTAAAATTGCACTATCCAAATCCAGGATGGGTTGAAATTATTCCTGATGAATTATTTCAAAACATTATACAAGTTATACATCAAGCAATAAAAAGTAAGACATTTATTAAATGCCTATAACATAAATCACTATTCATTATTATAATTGCCGCTTAAAAATTTTAGCACAAATTTGCATATTAAATAGCTTTTCTATTTATGGCACAATTGTAATAATTTTTTGGACAACTAGAAATAGAACCATATCAGATTCAATCATATTCGGATTTCCGAAAAAGGCTAAATTTATATGGATTACAAGAAGAAAAACAAAATAATGTTTCTGTCACCCCTGTTTAAGACACCTGTGGAGAAATACAATAAAAAAAGTATTCTGTGATCAATTCTGAGATATCGTCATCATCACGTAACGCTACAACCCTGGGTGGGTCTTGGCTGACTGTACAACTTTTTTCCGATTTGTTCGGTCTTCAATCAACCTAGGGTCAAATGGAATGTTCATTTTCCGGAGATCTAATTGGATGTTATCTTTCCATCGCATTCTGGGACGTCCGAGTAGAGGGATTCCCTGTGGGAATCTCCTCCCATACCAGTTTTACAAGTCTCTCGTTATGTAGTCTGTGCACGTGGCCTGCTTATCTTAGTCGCTGTAATTTAATTTATTGGACAATATCGGCGTCATTGTAGAGTGCTTTTAATTCGATATTGGTTCTGGTCTTATACTGGTTTGTGGTGATGTCATGGTGAGAACCGAAGTTTTTTTTAAATATTTTTCGTTCAAAGCGTCTGAGCTTTTCTTCGTTTGCTTTGGTCATGGTCCACGTTTCGCATCCGTATGTTATTACTGGTCTGACTTATAGATTTTGATCTTTGAACTTCTTGATTTTATAAGCTTATCCAGTGCGAATAGACAGCGGTTTGCAGATTTTATTCTAGCTTTTATTTCTTCAGTAACATCGTTGTCAGCTGTGATTACGGCCCCCAGATACTTAAAACGTTGTACTCTTTCGAAACTGAAGGTGTTGATCATCACATTTTGTCCTATTCTGCCTCTTTGTGTCGTTCTATTTATACACATATATTTCGTCTTCTCTTCATTAATCTTCAGCCCTACTTCACTTGTTGCTCCTTTCACCTTGTTGCAGATGTCTTTCGTGAATAGGAGTCTCCAACGAGATCTATGTCATCTGCATATGCGAGTAACAGCTTGGGACCTTGTACCGATAGCAATTCTGTTTTTATTTCGGCCGACCTCATGGCTTTCTCTAATACAAGGTTAAAAAGTAGTGGAGATAACGCATCACCCTGTTTGAGTCCACTGTTGATTTCAAAGCTGCCAGACAGTTTATTATTTACACGTACTTTAGATATTTCACCCTCCATACAGACTTTGGTCATCCGAATGAGTTTCTTTGGTATTGAGAACTCCGCCATGGCATTCCATACTTGGCTTCTTTCTACGCTATCATATGCCTGTCGTAATCATGGAAAATATTGTGTATGGGTCTGTTATACACCCATCCCTTTTCTAGAAGTTGTCTCAGCGTGAATAGTTGATCTATTGTTGATCTGTTTACCCTAAAACCGGCTTGATACTCGCCTGAGACATTTTTCCCTAAGAATGATGTTTGAGAGGGTTTTATATGCCAGGTTTGGGATCGAAATGCCTTTATAATTCGCGCATTTTGTTTTGTCCCATTTTTGTGGATGGACACTAATTCTGAGATATACTGAGTAATATTCGATCAAAGAATATGATCATAATAATATGAGGTAATTTTAATGCATGCGTGGATCAAATAAAAAGAGGATAAAAATCGATACATTCTTTGGAACGAGAAATAATGCTGGAGATAATATATTAGAATTGTAGTTAAAGTCACACTGAGAGTGCAGTAAGGTTAAGATGGGAATACGCATTTGCCGGATTTCACGCCATGTGCTTGGCACCAAACAGTTCCAAGTGTGGTCAGACGTACAGAACCATCCAAAGATTTTTACGGCCTAGACCGAGGCTCTATTACGAGTAAAACTACCTTTATTTCATTTTCATGTAAATTACAATAAAACAGAGAGACATAAGATATTTATTATAAAATACCTATAAGTACCGATCATGTACCAGTTGTAGGTAATTTCAAAGTCAGAATGAAGAATAAGTCGATGAAGAAATATGATGTTAGAATACTGAAAGATCCCAATGTTCGACTGAAGGTGAGTGAAAACCTCAATACAAAAGTGCTGAAATGCAAAAATGCAGGAACTATAGCGGAAAGTCTGACCATCATACAAGAAACTGAGAAAGATCAAAAAGGAACACCTGAAGAAAGATACAGAGAAACGGAAATCGAGGATGACCGATGAAATACTTAAACTCATGGATCAGAGAAAAAAAAACAAAGAAAATCTCCAAGAATATAAGAGAATACATATTATCATCAGAAGAAAAATAAGAGAAGCAAAAGAGAAACAAAAAACAACAATGTCAAGAAATAGATGAGTATCAGAGTCGATATGATAACTTCAATGTTCATCGAAAGATGAAGGAAATAACTGGAAAGTTCCGAAAACGCAACAGCGCAAAATTACAGATGATGAAGGCAATCTTGCCATAACGAGGGAAGATAAAAAGAAAGTATGGGAAGAATGCTTGGAGAAGCTTTTCCATGACCTTAGATCAATACAAGAGCCCACCATTGAAGAAAATTCAGGTCTCGAAATCCTACCAGAAGAAATAACGGCAGCCGTCAGACAAATGAAGGATGGAAAGGCACCGGGACTTGATGAAAGTTCTGCAGAACTGTTGAAGCTATTAGATGAAGAACAAATAATAACTGAAATATTTAATGAAATACACAAGGCAGGAAAAATACCAGTAGAGTGGCTCAAATCGAAGTTCGTACCATTGCCCAAAAAATCAGGATCAAAAGTATGTGTAGATTATAGGACCTAATGAGCCATCTGCTGAAGCTGTTCTTAAAAGTCATCCACAAAAAAATTTACCGGAAATGCGAGGAACAAATTGCGCCCAATCATTTTGGATTTGTGAACGCTGTTGGTACGAGGGAAGCTTTATTTAGCGTGCAGATATTGTTTCAGGAATCTAGAGATGTCAACTGTAATGTTTTTGCATGCCTGATTGACTACAAGAAGGCTTTCGATAGAGTCAGACATGAACAAATGATGGAAGTGCTGAAGAAGACAGGGATTGACGGAAAAGACTTAAAAATAATAGCTAACCTGTATTGGAATCAGATATTTGGTAAACCGCAAAAATTCGGGAAGGAGCCGTAGATCACGTAGTTGGAAAATATGGTCTTGGTCAGAGAAACGATGGAGGGGACAGATTGATACAGTACTGCCAAGACAAAGATCTAGTCATAACGAATACTTGATATAAGTTACCACCCAGGAGACTTTACACATGAGGGAGACATCAGGGCAGTATAAGGAACCGAATAGATTATGTGACAATTAATAGGTGAAATGCTGAAATTGTACACGCTATCAAACTATTAAAAAGTAACAAAACCCCAGGACCAGATGATATGTACGCAGAAACAATCAAGTTACTTAATGAAGAAAACCTAGACAATATTGTCAAGCTCTTTAACGACATCTACGATACGGGCCAGATTCCAAAAGATTGACTTCGATCTACATTTATCGCCCTACCAAAAACACCACGTGCGAACTTCTGCAAGGACCACCGACTAATAAGCCTAATGAGTCACTTTTTAAAACTTTTCCTGAGAATACTTCACACTAGATTGTTTAAGAAATGTGAAGTGGTCAGTGGATGGAGTCAGTTTGGTTTCAAAAATGGACTTGGCGCTAGAGAAGCGATCTTTAGTGTGCAAACATTAATACAGAATTGTTTAGATCAAAGAAAGGATGTTTTTGTATGTTTCATCGATTACGAGAAAGCATTCGATAATGTAAAACACGAATTGATGATAAAATACCTATAAGAGTTGGGATTGGATGCCAAGGATATAAGAATTATCGCCAATCTGTATTGGAACCAGACAGCACCAGTACGTCTTCAAAATTTCAACGAAACATAAAATTTCTCCATTAAAAAAGGAGTAAGTCAAGGTTGTATACTGCCTCCAATGCTGTTCAATTTATAAGTTGAAAAAGCCTTCGCAGAAGCAGTGGCAGACTCTAATAAGGGTATTAAAGTTAACGGCATATTTATTAATAACATCAGGTATGCCGATGATACAGCCATAGTGGCAGATAACATCGAAGATCTTCAATGCCTTTTAAATGATCTAACTCTTGCAAGTGAATCTCGGGGTTTGAAAATAAATATCAAGAAGACAAAAACAATGATCGCAACGCAAAGATATATGTTTCTGGAGAAGAAATCGAACAGGTCAGGCAATTTAAATACTTGGGTTGTTACCATACCCGAGAATGAAATAAAGTGCAGAGTTGAACAAACCAGAAATGCTTTTTTGAGACTTCGTAAGTTTCTGACTGATCGCAAATTGGACTTCAACCTCAGATACAAGATGATTAAGTGTTAAGCGTGGCCTGTTGTCTTGTACGGAATGGAAGCATGGACGTTAAAGGCCAGTTCCATTAACAAACTTTAAGTGTTTGTAATGTGATGCTTGCGTCGAATACTTAGAATATCATGGACGGACAGGGTCAGAAATGAGGAAGTACTCAGAAGAGCGGGCTACAGGATAGGGAACTTTATAGCTATGTAAAAAGTAAAAAGACTGCATACTTGGGGCACATATTACGAGGAGAAAGATACACTTTTCAGCAACTGATACTCGAAGGAAAGATAGAGATAGAGATCAATATTTGACAATGGACATAAATCCACAGCGGTACTCCGAATATATGGAGAATATACAGATGAGGTTAAAATCTTAAGGGGAGTGAGACAGGGGTGCATAATTTTACCACTGATATTTAATCTGTACTCGGAGCACATTTTTGAAGAGGCTCTAAAAGATATTGATGAAGGCATCTCATTAAGTGGAGTCAAGCTCAATAACCTGCGGTATGCAGATGATACAATAGTGTTTTCCAATACCATAGAAGAGTTGCAAAACTTAATGAACAAAATAACGG